TTCTTTTAACTATTTCATGTATATGTTTACCATCCCTTGTTTCTTATTTAGGACTGGATTTCCAGTTCCCTCTAAAGTCTTTTTCTTCCCCTTCACTTCTGGTGTCATTATCACCTTGCTTATTCCCTTACTCTGTAACCCTCTACCTCGAGTGGCTTTTAAGACTTGTACAAGGTGAATATCATTATTAAAAAAAACAAAAAAAACAACTATTCTGATAAGACTTTCATCAGAGTTGTTCAGGAACTTCAATGAACTTCCTTACAGTTCAGTAGTATTTGCTGATAATTTTTACAGTTTCTAGCAGTTTTTGCAAGCTCTGTATTTCTCTTTATTCTACAAATCTGCCTTACACCTAATACTAAAATCTCAAACTCAAAACATGGCTGTAAATTTCATACTTTGAAATATAGGATATTTCATAGAAATGACTGCTATTTGGTTTAGATCTATGTGGAATGAACTTGCTTTCAGGAAATAATCTTTAGAATTAAAAAAGTATTTTATATATAGATAGCATTATGTAGCAAATAATGTGAGAAACAGTGTATTACTTTATAATTGACCATTTTTGTTTAATGTATAATTTCTGTCTAAAGGAGTTATCATTATTTACATAATGAGAACAATCTACACTGTAGATTAAATAAAGGGTTCAGTTTGAAATTCCCTGTAGGTTACATAGATTGACATACACTTGATGAAGGCCAGAGGGCACAATGGCTGAAACTTGTGATAATAATAACAAAGGTGAGGATAATAGACCACATGTAAATAATGTAAATTAATGTATTTTTTTAATGCTCAAAAAATTCCTTAAGATAATGGCATATTTTTAAGATCACAGGGAGTTTCGTTTGCTTAAGTTTTTTTTATTTATCCTTGTCTCGGGAAGAAATAATACAGGGGAGATAACTGAGCAATTGACGAAATTAACACACTTTTGTGTAGTTTTTTTTTTCTATCTACACTGGCTTGGATTTCACGACTGTGCACGTGATCCCCTCTCAAGGTCATGTGCCAGATTCGAAATACCACCGTTACTCATTCTTTCTAAAACTCCAACAAGCCTGTTGTTACGTATGTACAAACGTGCGTTTGGAGTAATTATATATTTATTTTCTGATATATAAAGTATTACAACACACGAGCGTACGCAGGCACACACACACGCACGCCTGCATACACTTTTTTTTGTTGCCTAAACTGCTAAGATCTCGAAACGTCACTGCTTGCAACATGACATTTCCACTTGAGCATGTGGTTCATATTGTTTCAGCATAGTTTATCCAGTGGTTTCCCTTACACTATTCTTCTGTATATTGTGTACCAGTGACCTTCTTTAATAGGCCATGTCTCTTCAGGACATCACATATGCGATCATGACTCTTCACAACTTCCTATCCTTTGTATCTCTAAGCAATGTTTGTCCTTTTACTATCTCTTCCATTCCCTGTTTTGCCATCAATGTACACAAATTAGTTAGTTAAATTACTCACTGTTTCCCTTTACTACTTTTGCCTTCAGCCTGTCCTGTAAAATTCTCCAAGTCTTCTTTCTCACTAAATGTCCCAGAAATTTCAACTGTTTCTTTCTAATTCTAAAAGTAAATGTTCTTTTTGCTTCCATTTTCCTTAAAACTTCCTCATTGTTCATATATAACTTACATGGCATTATCAGCATCCTTCTGCCTTCACTTCATCTATGAGGAAATTGTCCAGCATTCACTGCCATATAGGATAATTGATATTAGACAGCAGTTCAACACATTTCATTGTTTCTAACAAAATTTTCCAATTTCTTAATACTTTGTTTAACTTTTTGAAGGCATCTTTCACTAATCCCATAAACATTAGGAAGGAAAAGTTTTTCTTTTAGTTCCCCAGAATTTGAATCCTGCATCATTGATTTTCATTGGTTGAACACAACTGCAAACTTAACATGTCTGAAGAAAAGTTGCCTGGTGATGAATCATCAAGTCACTCTAAACAACATCATCAAGTCTAGGCCCCTCATATACATTCCTTTTTAAGTGAGTTCATCCCAAGTAAGGCAGTAAAGCCATTAAGACAAAGGGTTATGGGTGTGGGAGAATTAGAAAACAGAAACATTACTAAGGAACAGGAATGAAAGAAGAGTATTCAGGAGGACAGTAGATAGAGATTGACATTGCATTTAAATATTTGCAGACTAAAGTTGGCTGGAAAGCATGGAGACGGAAGAGAGTTCTGTAAGCGAGAAGTGCCAGAATTTAAACTGTTAGCATTGAAGTTACAGTTAAATCTAACTGATTCAACTGTAAATTGATGAGGCCTCATCACCAGTCTAGTAATGCACATAAATTCATAAAGTCTAAGTACCATAGCAAAAAGCTCATTTGAACAATTACCATGAAAGTATTTATAGGAAAGGCACAGGGAGGCAACTTTATGATGGTGGAAAAGTGACTGGAGCCAAGACACCAGATCAAGACCAATAATATTGCTGATTCTTCTTTGGATCTTACCAAGGATCTCTAGATATAAAGCAGGTGCTCCAGACCATATGTAGCAGCAATATTCTAAACAAGGATGAATGGTTGACATAGATATGCAAGATCAATTTTGGAGAGAAAAATTTTCTAGCACAGTACAGTGAACCAACTTGCTTAGCAGCTGACATAACAATGGATTCTACATAGTTGTCCCACTTCTTGTCAGCTGAGAATGTTAGCCCAAGAAGGTGCAAATAGTCACTCTTCTGGAAATTAGCATCAGCCATGGTTAATTTGCACCTAGAAAATAGAATAATCTTATTCAATTAGGAAAAACAATTACAATTTTTATTTTCACTAAAAAAATATCGTTTATTCATAGAGGGTTACGTTCAGACTCTCTAGTATCTAATATACATTAATTGCCACATTTTTCATAGAGAGAATAATAGTAGCACAACTCAGATGAAGCTCATTTTCTAGGTGTAAAATCTGGAATTTCTACCAGTTTGATTATTATCTAATTCAAAATTTTAAATAAAAGTTTTTGGAAGCTGTTATTTCTTTTCTCTGAGACACTATCAATACCGTATACATCTGTCAAGAATAAACATCTGAATAAATATTTTGTTCTTTGTGTAAATGAATTGCAGCTCAGGAAGAAGAAGGGGTAGTAAAAAAAACATTGTTAAGAGCTTAAAAAAACAGTTATGAAGAGCCATGATCACCTTGTCCTGAAGTGACACAACATAAAGAAAGTTTGTTCATTTCTGAATATAACCAAGCTGTTATATTGTAGTGAGTTCCAATAAAAATAAAAATATACAAACAAAAATAAAAGGAATTAAAATTAAAATAAAGCATTTGCACTTTCCTTAAGAATCCTTATCTCTTTCTTTCTCTAAACTTCTCTTTCTATACTTCTCTCTCAACTAATGAGAAAGCAACTCTCAGATAAAAAGCGGAAGAAGAAGAAAAGACTGAACCTGGCCGAAAAAGACTGGAGGTTTACTACAGGATCAAAGCCTACTTATTTGTGACTAAAAATACCAAAAATCAGAAAAATGAAAAAGAAAGGAATGTCGGAAAATAAAATAATTTTGGTCAAACAAACAAACAAACAAAATTGACAAAAAGAGACTTTTAATGTTAGCCAAAACCAAAATTTCCATCAGAAACTTGGGGCCATGTCAAACGTATATAAGCTGACACCTCTGAGCTAGAACTAGACTGGGGGTGGAGGACAGCTGAATGGATGACAAGAGTGATGGAACAAAAGAATGCTAGTGCATAGAAACCAGTCATGCCTGACATGCAAAGAAGTAGTTAGGCCATCTGCTAATGATATTTCTGCCCTGCTTAAGGCTGAGAAAACACAGTAGTTTGACACTGACCTATTTCTAAGATTACTACTATCCCTATCATGGTCCGACTTCAAACTACCACTACTGGACATTTCTCTAAATGCTACCAATACCTGCTTTGTTAACAAACTTTTTGCTATGCCAAATACAAAGGGACTCACTCATCACTCTAAAGAAAATAAAAAAAAAATTTTATTTATTTTAAACCCTTGAGATCTAGTGCTTTTTATGCCCTAATTTTCCGATAAAATACCCACAGAGCCCACCTGTTATTTATAGTGCAACTATGGTGAGCGAACCTTAGTTATATGTGCCCCACCAGAGCCAAATATGGTTTTGAATTCAGAGTTGTTCTTTTCCTATATTGGTTGCTAACCAAGATTAGAGAATCCAATCTGCACTGTGTTATAAAAATTTTTATTTTATAACACAGTGCAGATTGGATTCTCTAATCTTGGTTAGCAAGACATATCTCGGCTGATTTACAGGCAAATACTCGAGCAAGAACCAGATGTGAACGGGACAAAGCCCCATCACAAAATGACCATTATCTTTCTTCACAAATGTTTCCGACACACATGTTCCGGTCGAAAAATAAAATAATATTTAAAGTGCTCTATTTTTAGTCCAATAAAAATGCTTCCCTCCTAATTATACTCGCTTCGTTTCTCGAGCCTGTTAAGCCATAAAAAAAACGCTATAAAAGGGGTCACAGGGAAGTTCAACAGGCAGTCAACAGGTGGCCACAAAGGAGACCGGTCACGTTCAGCAGCTGTCAGCAGGAGAGCATCAACCACCGTCAACATGTGTGAACTACTATGAGAGATCGACCAGATCCGAAAACCGGATTATGAACTTTACCACAAGGTAGCTGTCCCAAACCCTCACGTTCCTGTTGAAATAAACCACGTAAATCTATTTCTGCTGTTGTTGTATTTCTTTCTTGCAACCATACGCTTGTCTATAACAACTGCTATTTAACCCATAGCTGGAGAAGAGAAGAGATGGATTCATGCCTTTCCCAATTTGTGTAAAATTAAATCTAACGATCGCGACTGGAATTCGAATAGTTATGCAATAACCACCCAGTTACAATGAAAGAGTTATTGCCCTTGATAAACCTGTCGGTTAATCACGTGATCAGTTGTTTACAGGCGACCAACATGTCTGAGCGAAAAAAGAAGCATTCTTTAAAGGCAAGTCTTGGCAGCTTGTTGCACAACCATTGTTGGTAATTTTGTCTGATGCAGAAGAGTGCATTTGCTGCTTTTATTTTCTGTCATTGACAAACTTTCTGTGTTTAAAATTCTTCTGTATTTAAATGTTTTTGTCTAAGATAATGAAAGAAAAGCAAGTCCCTAGCAACGCTTAGAATTTTTAAAAAATCATGATTATTTTTTTAAAATCAAAATCTTTTTATTTTTTGCGCTAAACACCTCTAAAATATATTCTGCATTATTTTAATAGAGGCTACATATCTTACATTGCGCGCATGTCTTTAACTAAAGCGCGACTTATTTTTTAAATAGATTTAAAAATAAAATTTAAGGAATAAGGTCTTTACTTTACTTTACTCGAGACAGATTACTTTCAGTTCAGTCAACAAATTTATTTTTAAGAACTTATCTTTAGTTCTAATCTATTGTATTCTCTCTTTTTTTTTTTTTTAATTTATAATTTATCAATTTTTACTTTTAACCTCCTTTTTAGCTCATTATTATCTCTCTTTCTTTCCCAAGTAAAATAAATATATTTTTGACGCATCCACACATAAAAATAAAAAAAACAAACTTTAAATTAAAACTGCCTGGACTCACACACCCTAACTTTACTTCAGATTTGAAGTTTAGTTTACTCTTTACTACTTAAATACTTTAAAATAATTGAATCTAACTCTAAATTGAATAATTAATTAATTACATACCTTAACCTTTGTGACAATTGTGTTCCAGACGATTTATACATTTGGAATAAGGAATAATTTTCTTGAATATCCATCCACCGATACAGTATCTTAAAATCTGTTTATTATTATTATTATTATAATAATAAATAAATAAAAAATCAGTAAGTTTTACTTTTAGTTTTATTTTACTTTCGTTATCTCTCTTTCACTCCCTCTCTGGGTGCGTAAACACATAAGTAAAACTAAAAGTATAAATTTGCAGAAAGACTAGTTTACTTCCCTTATATTCTGAGTATTCGGTGTTTATTATGTTGAAAATAGTTCTACCGTACTAGTTAAGAAGAATTATTCCCATTAAAACTAAAAGTGAAAATATTTCCAAAAGTTAAAGCAAGTACATTTTTCTTGCTTTTTAAGTGCGAGTTTATTGAGCTCAAATTATATCAATTCAAATAATTGACCTCCAAAATTTGAGCTAAAAAAAAAACAAACTTAGAAACACATTTCTAAAATAATTTAAATCTCCTTTTCAGTAAAATTTGATCCTATTGAAAAAAGGCTTTAAAAGACATTTTTAAAACATTCTTTGTCATCAATTTATCCCGCCATTTTATTTGAAAAATGATGACAAAATTTAGGATATTTTAAATTAAAAAAATCAAATAACTATCCTAGATATTTAGTTTCAAAGGAAATTAGTGAAACTAAGAATTAACATAAGTTTGAAAAAATATTACTTACTGTACACTTATAGCGAAACACATGGGAATGAACACAGCAAGGAATAGTTCAACTGTCAACAAGTTCATAAACAATAGAAGTTAACACCCACAACCCCTACAAACCTTACCTCAAATTTAATACAGAATCTGGTTTCGTTTATGTTTAAAAATAAGCATTTTTAACTTTCTGTAACCAATAACATAGTTTTTATACAATTATTTTTTATGAAACTTCTTAGAATACTTTTTTTATGAAAATAAAAAATAAAATGAAGTTATATTGGTAAATTTGCTTTTTTACCGTTATATTTTTTTATCCATCGCATTTTATACCCTTTTTTTTCCCTTATTTTGTATATATTTTTTAAAGTATTTGATGTCATGAATCATTGCAGCAAATTAGGACTTTTTATAAGAAGAACAAATCCTGCTATAAGGAAAAAAAACTGGGGGAAATAAAGACTTACTGTACTGTTTATTGATTGCCTTTACTTTGGTTTCTTTCAACTACGAATGTCGTAAAATATTCTCTAGCGAGACATTTTCAAACATAACGTTAACCAATAGGGAGATAGTTCAAAATTTTGTTGGATTATTCCCTATATTTGATCTTACATACACAAAAATAATCTAACAGTTGTGAAAATAAATAAAATAAAATTCATTGTAGAGTTTTTTCCCTTGTTAAACCTAAAACAAACTTAAACTGTGGAAGCACCAACTCTTAACAGAAATTATTTTTTGATTTTTATTGAATTATTTTTAAGGCTTTAGGACAAAATTTTAATATTTTCTGGTTTGATATTGCAAAAATCTTTTTACTGAAATAATATCTTCTTTATAAAACTATAAAAAATATTTGTCATAAATAAGTATCTTTTTGATACAAAACTAGACACCTGTCCATTTTTTTAACATGGTCTAAAATTTTAGAATTGTATTGATTGAATAAAAGGTGCATACGAGATAGAAACCCTTAAAGTGTCATTGAAAAATGTTCTTACTAATATTTCAGTGTGCTTATTTCTACCCTCATCAAAAACATACATTTTTTAATTTAGCTTAATTTTGTTAATATTTCAGTGTTCATTCATATCAACCTCAAAATTGCTGTATATATTTTTGACGTTTACTTTTGCAAGTTTGCTTTATTACTGTTAATGTAGACATTGTAAATAAGTGTGATTTAGATTGTAAATATTTCATTGCATATTCACATCATCATCAAAGCAATATGATCTGTTTTTTTAATGTTACAGTTGCACATTTCAGCAGCTGTGCTACCCTCAGCTGCATTTGTGGCTGTTCCCAATGCACCTGTACCATCTATTATCAAATGCATTGAAGATGCACCTTTGATGGGGGCACTGTTAAACTCTACAGTTGTTAGCAGAATGTTTGGATCCCCACAGCCAGACCCTGATGAAAATCAGGAACAACAAGCAAGTATACGTGATTATGAAGAAATGAATGACAAGGGGTAAGTCAATTAGTTGATTTGAAATTTGTTGTATTACCTTAAATGAAGCTTTCAGTATAATCAAGGGCATGAATTATATATGTAATAATTTATAAAAACTCATAAGAAATGGCAGCATATTTCAGTAATTTTTCTATTGTAGTCATAAATGTATAATGTAGTCATTAAATATCAAAAACTTTATACTGCTATGCAATTTCTTATGTTCAATATAATATTAAAAAGAACTAAAAGTAAAGAGAACAGTTGATAACACTACCTTTGTGAATTTAGAAGAGTTGTCATGTTAGTGGAAGTCTAGCTTGATTCAAATTTGTATGGTCTACCACATCAGTCTCAGTGAGAATCTGTATAACATGGTTACTACATGTTCATTTGACAACATTAAAGCACCAGCAACATATATCCAACATGCACTACAATTTCTGTCTAAATTTGTCAACAAATTTATTTTTAAGAAGAACTTATCTTCATTTTTTTTTTTTAATTTATAATTTATCAATTTTTACTTTTAACCTCCTTTTTAGCTCATTATTATCTCTCTTTCTTTCCTCAATCAATCCCAAGTAAAATAAATATATTTTTTGACACATGCACCCACACATAAAAATAAAAAAAATAAAAACTTTAAATTAAAACTGCCTGGACTCACACACACTAACTTTACTTCAGATTTGAAGTTTAGTTTATTCTTTACTACTTAAATACTTTAAAATAATTGAATCTAACTCTAAATTGAATAATTAATTAATTACATACCTTAACCTTTGTGACAATTGTGTTCCAGACGATTTATACATTTGGAATATCCATCCACCGATACAGTATCTTAAAATCTGTTTATAAAATAAAAAAAAAAAAGTTTTACTTTTAGTTTTATTTTACTTTCGTTATCTCTCTTTCACTCCCTCTCTGTGTGTGTATGTGTATAAATACATGAGTAAAAGTATAAATTTGCAGAAAGACTGGTTTACTTCCCTTATATTCTGAGTCTCCGTGGTTCTGGTGATTCGGTGTTTATTATACTGAAAATAGTTCTACCGTAAGTTAAGAATTATTCCCATTCTATATAAAAGAATGTATGTGAAGGTGAAAATATTCCCAAAGGTTAAAGCAAGTACATTTTTCTTGCTTTTTAAGTGCAAATTTATTGAGCTCAAATTATATCAATTCAAATAATTGACCTCCAAAATTTGAGCTTAAAAAAAAAAAAAAACTTAGAAACACGTTTTTAAAATAATTTAAATATCTCCTTTTCTGTAGGACAATCTTGAATCTAGAACTTGGAACCTTAAACCAGATATTCTTCTTACCTCCTCTACTGCTGCTTCAGCTTTGTTGTCAAGCATGGTTTACTTCGCCACCACTTCTCTTCCTATTGTCACTGCAGTTTTTTTTTGTCATGCACTAGTATTATTGATTACTGGTATTTCTGGTGCATGGTCTTTTTCCTTAATGGCTCCCATATAGTATTTATATATATTCTAGGCCTATTGAGAAGGCTGTCTTAGCCTAATATATATGATGATTCCTACAGACAGCTGATTCTATAGTGTTCTTCTCTATCTAGTATTTTTACTTCATTCCACATGGATTGGTAAATACCCTTTTCCCCCATACATAATCAGTCATGTTTGATTTTATTATTTCACTCTTAATTACAGCTTTTCAATATCGCTCCAGCTTTACATTTAGAGGTCAGCTAGTTTTACATTTGTATTTTTTGCCACAACTGCAACAGATGGAATATACACAGTTCTTGGTATTGTTCTCCTCTGTGTTAGGCTTGATTTGGCAGAGATGTCAACATAAGATTGATCTGCTCTTGAATGTTGTTCTGATATTGTATGGACTGTGGATCTTTTGAATCCTTTCTAACTAGCAGTTTCTTACAAAATTCTGTTTGATCATGTAACTAGATTTTAGGGACTTCATGAAAACTTCCTATTTATACATGTTGCATTTTGTATATGTGTTTTATTATATAATTATTAACTTTTTTTTTGGTATGCTATCTTATAGTTGAAGTTTCCATTTAACATCAAGCAATTCAATAAATAATTCAAACTTGCTTCCCTTCACTACAACTTACTGTTGAAAAGTAATGAATATAAAGAAAGAATTCTTAAATTATAAATAAAAGTATCCAAAGGCAGCTAACATGAAACGAAAGGGAAAAATAAAACAATGTTTTAGCAATCTGGTCTCTTGACTTATTAAGATATCCCATTGTTATGGTAAAATAAGAATAAATGGTGTCAAGTAGTACCTCTTGTTACCATAAACAATCATATTACCAAGTGAGACCAGATTGAGTGACTGATAAATATATAAAATTACATTGCCTTATATTTATAAATATATAAGAATAAAGGAAAGAAAAACAATTAAAAATTGGTTAGCTTCTTACTTCCCAGTGGAAAAAAAGGAAAAAAATAATATTTGAAAGAATTTCTTTGAATATCTCAGATATACTTGAGGTAATATCAAAAAACATAACCTTTAATGTTAACATCTGATTTTCTAAATAATTTTCTACAAGAAAATAATTTTTTTTGTCTAATAATTTTAACACGAAACAAAAGTTTATCTTGTCAAATTTCGCAGTTACATAGAATTTCTTATTTTTATATCTTTATTTCTTGACTTTATTTGATTAAATAGACATCTAAGTTTATGCCATTTGTGAATAACTCATTGGAGACAACTGTATTTTTATTTTGTATTTTTTCTAGGAAGGGATTATCCAGGGGAGATAACTCTCTCTTTTTCATGACACTGAAAAATACTGTTAAATAACTAACTTGATTAAATGATTGCTTCCCCTGATCCCTGTACGTTATTTATCCAGTTTTCTGTTTTAGTCTGTTCATATGCATCTATATATTTGTATTGTTACTCTTCAAAATTTATACATATATTTTCTCTGATCTTTATTTATGTATTTATATTTCCTGTAAAAATTCCTTTATTTCATATATCTTTTGAACTATTATAATTTTTAGTACATTTTGGCAATCTACTCTTCATTCTACTTCAACCTGATTTTTCCCTTTTAGCTAATCTAACAGAATCACAGGACTGACTTCTAAGGTTTTGTGTTCAAACTCTTAATGGAAGAACAGATGCAATTTGAAAATTTTTTATTCTTATCAAGGATTCTGTCCATCTTGTTGCCCCTGATTGTAGGAACTATTATCAATGTTCATAATGCCACAGTCAAAATAAAAATGCAGTCCTAGACCCCTGGATGCAATGAACCAATGACAACTGAAGAATGAACCAGCAAAAATTTTTCATTAAAAGCAACAAAGATAAACATAAGTTTAAAAATGTTCCATCTTAGATTTTTGTTAATTTTCACTTGAAAAATAGAACATATTTTTAAGAACATCTACTCTACAATATACAAGGATCATGTTATATGATATATTGATTAGAATAATATCAATTTATACATACTTGTTTGCAGTATTAAAAAAGAAACTTTATTAATAAATATGGATTTTCAAATTCTACATTTATTCAGCTCTATTTATTCACGTAATTTGAACTTTTCATGAAGTATTTCTTACAAGAGTTTCAAATGGAATTTTTCGATGTCTTTTTTGTTTTTATCTTAGCTATCTGACCATTCCATTTGGAGAACTGACTCCTGATAAAAGATCAGAATCATTCATAGATGGGATGAACTTTACAGAAAAAGCATATGAATTTCATAAAAAAAGCAATGAAAGTGAAGAAATCAACAAAAACTCTTCGGTAATTCTGTTTAAATTTTCAGTTGTATTATATGTATATATATTTTACGAGATCTTTACCAAATTTGTTTCACCATTTTACATATCCCAAACTGAGAACCCTTATTCATTTTCCTAAAGATTGCATTGAAGTTAATAATTGTTCATATTGCAACCAAAAGAAATGAGAAATATCCAAACAATAATAATATTGATATTTATTCTCTTTATGAATTTTGACTGTTGCTTGGTAATGATTTTGCAATATATTTTACAATCAACTGACAAATCAGCAACAAAACTGTTGTAATGGAATGTTCCACTCTCCCTATTACCTATTGTGGACTGACTATATCAGTAACTAGCAGCATTACACGGTGTTGCCTGGGTTTATTCAAAAAAAAGATCATGAACCTCATCCAATCTGTAAAGTTAAAATAAAGAAGATTTTTCTTTAGTGCCTCTTATCTATATGGCGAAAAATTATAATGACATTATAATTATAATGAAAACATTTATAACAGGAGAAAGTTCTTTTTTAAAGAAGCACAGAAGATAACAAAAAAATATTTGTCAGCAAATGAAGAGTACATTAATCGCAATCGATCTTCGAAAATTGTTGAGGAGAAATGCTTTGTTGACAGCTTTTGCTCAAACTACATCGAATGAACAACATACATTGGAAGGAGAAGAAATTCAACAAAGACTTCTAGCAGCCGTGCCAAGGCTGAAAACCAACGTTCACAAAGACTGTCTAGAAATGCTTCAACAACTGCAGCCACAAGAGCCTTGAAAACTCAAGAAGAATGTACAATTCAAGAGAACAGAAAAGCTGCAAAAACAGCTTACACATTGACAATGCAGGCTGCATAAAACGGCCTCAATAGTTTGGAAGATATTGCTGCAAGATCAGCACCACATCAGAGAATCTCTAGACATTGTAGTCAGCATTGGTCTTTAAAGGCATCCGTATATGACCTCCTGCTATTAAGAGAACCAACCCATATGTCCTATCCCAAAGTATCTCGATAGTCTGCTTATGTGCAGACAAAAAGATGAACAAGGGAGCATTTTAACATTATGTGATCGGTGATATGATTGCACAAACCATCCTTGAAGATTTATTGCAGTCACTGAAAATCCAACTAACTTATCCAATAATAGGCTAAAGCTAATTAATAAAACCATTTGGCATAATTACACCTTTCAAATAGTCTATTGGGTTGGATTTTATTAAAGAGTTTATTTTAGATTAATTAAATTTAACTTGAATTAAAATTAACCCCAGTTGGAACATAGCATGGCTCTATAAAGTCTATTTTAAACGACAAACATACATGTATATGAGAATCAAAACGAATAAAAGGATTGACATCATATGTCCATTTAAAATTTACAAGACTTCATGATAAACTATATTTTTGGTTTTACCTCGTGGAACAACTGCAAAGAGATTTTGTTTGCCTCCAACTCTGGAGAAACCAACATATAATTGCCCATGTGAAAAGCATGGTTCTTCCAAATGAACGCCTGCAACAGACAATGTTTGTCCTTGGGATATGTTTATTGACATAACTGACACAAACAGGAAATTGTAGCCTTCTGAAAGGAATCGGTAGTTCTGTTCCTGATGGAATAAGAGGAATTCTTGGAATGAACACATCCTTCCTTTTTGCACATCCTGAAAGAATAGTTGCCTCTGTGATGTGTTGCATTGTTTTTTTTACCACCAAGCATGTTCCATTGCAGAGTCTTGGTGGTTCCAAATTTCTCAACAGCATAACTGGGGTTCCAACTTTTAAGGCCAATCTGTGAGGTGGTAGTCCAGATGGGTCTAATGAATTAAGAAATTCAGTTGGATAATTCACCACCTGATTTGGATCTGGGATTGTGTCAATGGACTTGTAATTTCCAGGGATATACTGGAGCAGTTTGTCATTAATCTTACAGATTGTGTTATTCTTAGGAGCCAATATTGCTCTTTCGGATAGCCAATCTTGGTTGAGATAATTTACTTCTAGATTATGAAAGATGCTTGCAATGAGATCGTCTATTGTGTTGACTAAATTACAAATTGGTTGAATAGTCACCTCTCCATCGGGATCCACAGGCATTTTGCCTTCACCAGTCGCTAAAATATCAGCAGAAAACTATCCTGATAACTGATCACCATATAAATGAGCTTGCATATTGATGGTGAGATTTAATGTTTGTACTAAAGGCCAAAGGGGAGATAACTTAAGACAGGCCTTGACTGCATCTGCTCGTGTTCCTTTGGGAATGACTCGAAGAGTCTGCCTAAAATCCCCAGAGAGAAGCAGAATTATACCGCCCATTGGTTCCAAACAATTGTGTATGTCTTGGAGGGCTCTATTAAGTGCTTCAAGAGCTCCTCTATGGGTCATGGTACATTCGACCCAAACAATCAGATGGCACCTTTTTAGCAGCTCGGCTTTATCTGAGTTCTTGCTGATATTGCAAGTGGGCGTATCAATGGGTCATATTCATTGGCAGCTTGAAAGTTGAGTGAGCAGTCCTGCCACCAGGCAGCAGTGTTGCAGTGATGCCAGAGGATGTCACTACTAATACAATCTTCTCTTGTTGTAAGAAGTTTTGTGACAAAGGTTTTACCAATTCCTCCAGGTGCATCCAGGTTGAAGATGCCCCCCTTTCGATTTTGAACACTTGTACAAATGGTTTCATAGGCACACTTCTGTTCAGGCAGCAATTTTGGCTCATTTTCATTGATATAATTGGTAAGAAGATTTATATCATAGGATGTCTCCCATATAATATCAGTTTGGCATTTATTGGAGTCAGTTCTGTTGATTTTGGGAAGTCCATATGAGGAGAGTGTACTCCCACCCATTGAAATAACCCTATTTTCTATATCAGTTAGTGCCTGATTGAATATTGCATCGCTGAAGCTGACCTCCATGCCTGGAATCTGTAGCTGAGCTCGATGTTTGAAATCATCTGATAGATCATTTCTGAAGTTAACCCAAAGGGCAAATGGGTCACTTACTTAGTCCATATTTATGGCAGGCGTCTCTGAATGTTCACAATTGCCCTTCGAATGTCTTTAAATCCTGGAAACACCTTGTTCCTCTCACCTCGTGAAGTAAGAGATGAAGATAGAAGCATTCTTGTTGACTAGGATGCACTGTGTAAACTCTACCCAGACAATGCTCAAGTTTCACACCAGGGAAGCCTTCAAAATCTTGTCCTGTCTTCGTGTCCATGTATTACTATTCCATCTATAGTACGACAACTTCAGGGTAAAGGAGGGTGCGAGCAAAATCATCAAACTGACAAAGTTTAAAAAAGGCAGTCAATGTCATGTCTCTTGGTTTGCAGGCCATCTGAACTGCTTTTCATTGCTAAAGTAAACACGTTCTCCAGATGGGCTGCCAACTGTTGAACAGCAGGGTGCCTCTGGTGCACTGGGAAGCCAAATATTTGCCAAAAGGCTTCATTACTGCTGAGATAATGTCCAGTTTGATATTGGGTTACCTCATCGTGGTTGTTCTCTCTAACAAGGTTAAATGTAGCAGCATCAGACTCTTTGTTCACATACTTACAAATATATTTGATCGATTTCATGGAGTTACAAAATTCAACATTGATATGCTCATTGAATGTCTTTATCAAAAGTGGGCAGTATGGCAAAACCATCTATTGTCAATTTCGTGTTTTCCCACAATGGTTGTGACTCCTCTGTCTTCTAGTTTCCGCCGTCTATACAATGGATAACCATCGGTGCCGGTCTGTGTTTTGCAGAGAAACTGTCGTGGACACATTTTGGTACATGTATTGTCTTTAATGCATGGTGAATTCATGTTAAAACCGCGGCCACATAGGCCGTGTATCATGTTTGCTTTAACATTCATATATAGATCCTTGTCAGTATTTGGATCTGGTAGTGCGGCTGAAATAATCTTGTCGATCTCAGTAGCATTGAACTTATTTGATAGCCAAATGAGAATGTGAACATGTGGGAGGCCTCTTTTTTGCCATTCAATGGTGTACATATCGCACTTTACAGCTCCAAAAACCTGACCGTTCGTGACCAAATCCATTAGTTTGACTAACTTTAAATGGAAAACTCTTGCCATTAGATCATGCCTATCTTTAGACTTTTGACCCAGGAATAGCTCATTCTGAATCTCCTTCCATGTAGAATTGCAAGAAAATGTTATGAAGAGATCTGGCCTACCATAACACCTTACATCTGTCATTGCATCCTGAGTTCACTCATGCATATATCGAGGACCACCAGTGAAAGTTGCCGGTAAGATGCAGACTTTGCCAATGTTTTCGGGATCTACGTTATTGTTAATGCCATCTCGTAGATGAATGTAACTATCTGAGCGCAGTTTTTTTCTGATTCAATCTGATGTACAGCAACCTTTCAGACTCTATTTTAGCACACATATCAACTGTGAATTGGTGAAACAGATCTTGTGAATGATGAATGTGGTTAAATGAGTTTTCTCTTGTCATAAAGTAGAATGAATAGAATTGCATGCACGAGACCATTTTGAGGTTTTGTTATAGACCACAATTATTATTACTGTGTTGGTGGATCCTCACCGTTTACAAAGAATAATGGGTACTGAAGCACGTCATAAGATCGGTGGGTTTCATTGATGCGCTGCAGTTTGTTATCACGTGATGAAAGAACTATATCTCTAGCATTATTGTGTTAGTGACCATGAATAATAGCAGCAATTTCATTGCAAACAGGTGAATTATAACGTCCTCCATGTTCACAACCTGGTGTCTGGTTAGCGTCGATGATGACATAAAAATTTGGCGTGTCCGCTGTTTCTAAAGCATATTTGAACTCTCACACAGAATTCTTCCTGGTGTGTAGCATTTCCTGTAGCTCAAGAGTGTTATCCATTTCAGTTCCAGGTGAAATAGAGTTGCGCCTAGTTGCCTGTTCCTGATAGTTACCTACAAAGTAAAACTGAAGAAATTGTGGCTCCTCGTTTACCATAGGTTGCATCAAGCCAATTC